CGGTGAGTGGGGGCCGCGATCGGCCGAACTTGCCGCGTCAGCAGGTAAATAAACTGGCCCGGCCCGCCAGGGTGCTTACCCTGGCGAGCCGCGTGCCAAACGTTGCCGACCCCTGGGCTAAACTGAAGTATTCTGGTATCTCAGTGTTTTTCAACTTGTGTATTTCTGTGTTCCATCTTACCAGCAGGAAGTACTGAAATCTGAGGAGAGAATTTGGGAACACATACATCTGTCAAATCAAAATAATGTTCTGCATGTACACAGTACAGAACATCTGGTGATCCCAAAGCATTTTGTAAGCATTTTGCACTATGGCCCCAATCCATGCTTAATTTTAAGTACTGTTGACTTTAATGGAACTGTTCAGATGCCTAAAATTAATCACATGTTTAAGTGCTTTGCTGTATCAGGGCCAGCACGCTCAACATCTTGCAGGATTGATCCCTCCATGAACACAGTATATGAAACTTTCTTATGGTAGTTAGGATCTTGAGCAATTTTTGTAGAACAGTTGCTTGTAGAGCACTTGTTTAAACTATATTTCCTGTTCTTTCTCCAATGTGCCTGATGGATTTCACTGCAGTCCTCTCTGGAACCAGCTACTTGTGTTAATGGTATTAAAGTAGTTCAAACTTACTTATTGTGTATGCAAAATATGTTTTAGCCTATACAACTACTGAGCCAGAACTTGTGCACTAGAAGGTTATTTGTTTGGAAAGCCTACTGTAATTTAGTGGAAGTAATAGTATGCTGTGTGTGCCTTTCTGGATTTTTAAAACTTGAATTTAAGCAATAAGAATTGCTGTGAGGTTCCTTGAAACATTGGGATTGGGAAGGGGAGAAGTGATGGAAAAATGACAAGTTTTCTATTTTTTTCTTCATTGTGATTTTTCATTCAGTGGGTATTCTTAATGTATATGTTTCAAGAAATGTCAAATACAGTGGGTGTTATGAAAATTTTGGTGTTTTTTTGCAGTGGTTAAACTAGTTATAATATTTCCAATATTCCCTATATTCTACTTACCATAAATATTCCATCCCATTAAATATAAAGGTGTGTTTTTTCCAGGTTACTCTTTATAATTTAGTGTATAAAAGTGATAGCGGACACAATGTACAGTTTTTGCTCCAATAATGTTTGCTCAAATTTGATATTTTGATGACAACTCTTTTATCCTATGTTTCCTTCAGCTACTGTAGTCTCATGCCAAGGAAACATTTTTGTTTTAATAGAGGAATTAAAACTGTGCTGAGTTCATTTGATTTTATTTATTGAGATGACTTTTCCTGCAACTGCTGCTAATTTATTTTGTTCAGAATACAAAAATTTAGGCAATAAAGTATTTTAATGTAAATTGAGTGTGAAGGATGCTGCTTCTGTTTTTTCTACAGCAGCAGAAAGCTTACTCAGTGATCTCCAGTTTATTCCAACCCAGAACTGGATGGTCTACTTGTAGTTGTGAGAGGCTAGTTAGTCTTCAAGGTTTTGGGCACTTTTTCCGAAACTGCCAACAAGGCTGCCAGCTGCGGTAATGTTTTTTGTGGGTGCCTGCCTCGCAGGAACTGGAGTAACACAACCAAACTTATTTTGCATAAGCTACTGCACAGCCATCAAAACTTGCACTGGATTCTGTCTTGTCACTATAACCAAGTCAAACAATAGTGTGTATCTATCATTTATTCATGGTTTCTTTGCATAGTTGCATAATTGCACTTGTTTTTAATCATTTTTGCCTTCTGTATAGGCTAAACCCCAACCCCTCATTTATTTGAGCAGAGTTCTATGAGTGCCACTAAAATATAATACTTATCTTAAAGTTTTATGCCAGATCTGTGGGTATTTGGTATAACTACTGGTATATTGACAGTTAATATGTTTGATATAATAGTATGACATAAGCGTGAACTTGTCTATTCGTTACATTTAGGACTGTAAGGATATTTTCCAATTCAGGTTTTTCATACTCTTCAGTGCCTAGCTACGTGTTGTACTTCTCCATTATAAGAATCTTTATGCCAGTGGTTCTAGCAGAACAAGTAGTATATTTTACTTGTAAGCTTTCCCCACATACACATTAAAAACTGTAACTCCTGTTTTTGTTACAGTTCCTCTTTGTGTCGTCTTTGTCCATTATATAACAAAGTATGCGCTGATTTCACAAAATTGCTCTTTATAATAAATATGTAACTGGAAATGTGTATAAGAGGTATTTTGGTCAGCTTCACATTGTCTTTTTTTCAGCAAATTCTTAATGTGCTCTATAACATTTTGGGATAAAATCATAATAGAGATGTGAAAGGACTATTACATCAAGTCTATCCCCAAACAAGTTCAGGTGATACTTCCTTACACCACACTTGTTCTTAAACAAAATGCCAAAACTGGCAAACAAAAGCATCAAGAAAATTTTCCAAAAAAAAAATTGTAAGCTACCCTATCTTTCTGGCTTAAAAAAAAAATTCTATGTTGATTTCAAAAGAGAGTTTCATAGGGTTTTTTTTTGTTTTGTTTTTTTTTATATTTTCTGCTTTTAGCAGATGTTACAAATAGTCTAGGTTTTTAGGTACATTTAACCATGTTCTTCATAATAAGAACCATATATAATACGTTGAAGCATCTGTGGACATGGTTTTCAGTTTGTGTGTCCGAATAGGGAGGGATAAGGATTGTAGGATACTTCCTAGAAGATAATGAATATTAAATAATCTGCAGCTCTTAAATTTAACCTGGCTATCTCTCTGATACAGAGAACATAGTTTTGGTATATCTTTTTTTCCCCCTTTGGTAAGACTATTACATCAAATTCAGACTGTGCAGGCTGTGAGAAGTTAATGTAATAAATTCTGTTCTATAACTTTCATGTAATCGGGATTTTTTGTTTTTGTTTTCTTTAATCCCCTTCAGGCAGCCAAGGGCAATTTCCACTCACACAGAATGTTACAGTTGTTGAAGGGGGAACAGCAAATTTGACCTGCAGGGTTGATCAAAATGATAACACCTCCCTCCAGTGGTCAAATCCAGCTCAACAGACTCTGTACTTCGATGACAAGAAAGGTGAATATATTTTCTTTAATAATTTTGAAATATTTAATGATAATAAATATCTTAAATGAGACAGATCATTCATTTATTCCAAAACTGTTTTAATATGTAACTGTATTTATGTTATATATTAAATATTTCTGTTTGCTAGGCATAAACTCTAACGAGTACAGAGTTTTGTTAGTCTCTAAGGTGCCACAAGTACTCCTGTTCTTTTTTCAAAAGAGTACTTAACTTATAATTTTTGATTAAATATACAGAGTTTGTTTCTAACTCTCTCTCTTTGATTGAAGTTATTATTGTAATGTATATCTTGATTTCTTACATGATTTTCATTGCCTACATTAAGAGGTTGGAGGAAAAGAACAACATTTTTCATGATTATTGCAAACTGAACTGGAAATCTTTGTTTAGATGTATTTCGAAGGGCGGGTTAAGGAGGGCTGTGTGCGGAGGGGATGTAGTAGCCTGAAAGCACCATATCTTGTCTATGGTAGTTAGTGGTGGAAGGATAGATAGTATTTGGCTCAAGTTTATTGGATTTTGTTTGCTTGTTTTTGTTTTTAAACAATTAGTGTACAGTTACCATCAAATGGTTATTCAGCCAAACAACTAATCAATTAGTTCACTTTTATATTTACTGCCTGAGTTTTACTAATTACATGATCCATAGGTTGTGGTGGTGGTCTACCCAGATGAAAAAAATTGGAACAATTTCTATTCCTTTTCATAAGACAAATATTGCTTATTTAATAGGGTTTGCTGCCAAGATTTATGCATCCATCTGACCTGAATAAGCCAAGAAATGTATCTTTTGCGGTAAAATGTTAACAAGGGAATGCCCTTCGATTTCATACATAAAAACATTCGAGAATTAACAGAGCTAAATTTCGTAAAATCTCTATTTGGCTTCAGAACTGCAATAACCTTGATGTTGGCTCCAGCAGTAGCGAAGCTTGATCGAGTTTATATTTAATCCTTCTGTGAGGACTCGGTTCTGCAAGATGCTGAGCACGCTGGCTCATATCCAGCAAATGGGAGTACTTAGGAGCTTAAAGTTAAGCACTGATTAAGTGTTTTGCTGTATGATGGCAAAGGTGCTTAGCATCTTGCGGGGTCAAGCTTGAAGAGCAGGTTTTGGGTGGATCTGTGTACTTGATTAAAAGCAGATTTGAAAAGCAGTTGTATTATATCTACAGAACCTGCAATCAAAATATTTTCAAACTGAATAAGTTTCATTGCTACTAATATAATAGGCAAAACAGAATCTAATTAAGATACTGAAATGGTTCCTTTTTCCTTTGTGTAACTATTTTTTAATGTGTAATCATTGGATTTGCAATTTCCTTTGAGTCTCAAGTATGTTCTGAATGTTGGATTAAAGATACATAATGAAGGGTTTGCCATGTGTTAATATTCCTAAAACCCAATCCTGCAACCCTTACTCATGTGAGTAATTCTACTGATTTTGTGTAAGTAAGGAATACCTGCATTAGTAAAAGTAGTGGGTTTGAGCTCTTTTGTAGGCGAAACCCAATATCTAGAACTTCTATACATTTAATGACATTTTAAAAGAAGTGCAGCAGTAACATTTGAGTGGTTTGTTGCATAGTAAGTATTTGTGAGCAATTTATATTCTCTACAGAAGACACAGTAGGCTAAAGAAAATTTAAAGAACTGCAGTTTTCACTGAACTTTAAACTCTGTCCTTAGACTCTGAGGAATATGTGCAGATTTATTTGCAGAGGAATTACTGTACATCTGTTACACAGGAAAACTGCTAAAATGATCCAGAAGTATGCCTGGTCCTTAAAGCAGGCATATTCAATTATTTTACATTTATAAGGCATTGCATCCTGTTCATGTGACAATCCCATCTTTGACTATACTGCTGGGGGAAGTGAGCAGCAGGATAAAATGCCATGCAGAAGTCATTGCCACTCTCTCCCCACTTCTTCCAACTCAAATAATGGTTTCACAGCTTTAATCAGCAGCTGTCTGTGTGCTTCCACTTATGCCTAAAGGAAAGATTTCTCCCTTTTGGGTCTTGTATTGCTAGGCTGGAACTCTAGCTCTGAAAGCTTAGAAGGGTATCCCTCAGAGACAGCATTAAGTCCATCCTGAGGCCAGTGTTGAAGCGGAAGTCTGAGTCAGAGCCCTCTCTTCTTATAGGCACTTCATTTGTGTCCATTTAAGCACAGAGAGCTTACTCTTAGGTGCAGTAGCTCTGCTTCATCCATTGATTCCAGTGCCCAGACATTCAGAGTTCTCCACTGGTTTTGGCCCTAGCTGCATGACACATCTCTCTCCCTTCATAGCTATGTAAACCTCCTGGTACAGTTGGTGTTTGAGACCCATAAAATCAGTGAAAAAGAATAGGTGGAGACAGACAGACAAGTCTTATAGGAGTTGGATCTATGAAGCTCACTCCCACAGGAGATCAGAATGACCACAGACCCCTCCAAATTCAGAATTAAATTAAAAATAATACATGCCCTTGACTTAACCTTCCATCAATAAATTATGCACCATCACGCCACACACCCCCACAAACTAATCAAGCTGTTTCTTCTGTTGGTTGGAAGGAAGAGAGAAAGTGCCATTGTTATTTCTATTTTTAAATACTTGGAAGATGCTCAGGTACTACCATAAATGGGAGCCAGATGAGTATCAAATACATGGCTGGTGTGTACAGCAGCAGGAGAGTAAGCTGACATAAACAGTATGCAATAGAAGCAGAAAAGTTACCCGTGGATGAGGAGGTCTGAAATGCCCTCTCCACGATGCTGTTCTTCATGAAGGCCCTAATGTTTGCAAAAACTAGAACTACAAGATGGTGGTACAGAGGGACCTAGAGCCAGGCTCTCATCCAAAGACAATTTCTGATGATAAAAAAGACATGTTTAATGTAAATATAGTCTATTTTTGTGAACTAAATCAGTGAGGTATTTGAGAAGAAGCATTACCTACTTGGTTAAGACAATGGGACTGGATGGGAGGAGATGGTAACATTATTGGATTCACCTAATGGTACTATTATTCAGGGCTTGTGTAAATGAACACTTAGGTAAGGTGACCAGACAGCAAATGTGAAAAATCAGGACAGGAGGTGAGGTGTAATAGGAGCCTATATAAGAAAAAGACCCCAAAATCGGCACTGTCCCTATAAAATCGGGACATCTGGTCACCCTAGTTTGTGGCAAGCTGGGGTGAATCTACCCCACATTACTGTGTTGCTCACTAAGTAACGATGTGGGTTCCACTGACACACACTAAATGTTCCCTAATGTGCTTTAATCTACTCCCATTTCAAAGTGTGATAGTCAAAACGGACTGAGAAATGTTTAGTGCGCGGCAGCTGGGTCCACCTGAAGAGTTAGTGTGTGGCAGGCTAGTGTGGAGTAGATTTACACACGAGCTTTCAACAAAATAAGTGGTCATTTAGACAAGCACTGGGAGACTTCCAAACTTTGTGACTGAATAAGCAGCCAGTTTGATCTCAAAGAAATGCTGATAATTAGTTTTCATACAGTTGTCTCTTCAAATCTGAACATATCATTAAAGTTGGTCTTCTCTAATCAAGTCTCTCTCATTCTAGAATAATTTAGATGTGGTGCTACTGCCTACATGTTATATGCCTATAAACAAAACATGGAAAAACATTAGAGACTGGGATTCTGTTTTTAACTTGACTTGTCCTTGTACCTCACGTTCCTGTGTCTTTGGTCAAGTCACATAACAGATGTCTTCATTTTTCAATCAGAAAAACAGGACTAATAATGGATACCTTCCTTGCATGCGTTTTGTGAGGTGTAAATAACTCGTGTTGGTAAAATTGTCCAATATTTTTGGTTAGAAAGTTCAGTAAAAAAGTCACATTATTATTTACTCATTTATGAATTATAACCTATTCATTGTTTGCAACCAGAACACCAAAGATATTAATCACATTTTCCTTTCACGTCATAGATACATATCAAAACTTAACCCACACCTGAAATTACCCTAAAGTAAAAGCAAATACTGTCCATTAATATCAATTGCATATATATATAGTTGACGCACAGGAAGGTTTTTGTGTTCAAGGATGCTTTAAACTCAACTGATTTGAATATTTATGAATAAAATTACTTACACAAGTAATATTTTAGCTTGAGAGATGTTTGATGGTGTGCCTATATAAAATTAAAAGGAATAGAAAATTATGAATAGATTTTTCTTTCAGGAAAAACAATGACCTACTTTAATCTGTTTAATGTATGTGAATGAATATATCAGGTTTTTGTTTTTAGAGTCTCATGGCTTGGATTAGATAAAATATTTGTTACAAATTTGAGACTAGAGTGTGATTAACCCAATCTGGATATGCAAAGAGTGAAGGGGGGGGGTGGGAAGGGTGGAAGGTCCAATAAGCCTTTTCCTTCTTTATGCCCTAAAAACTGTAAGACACATCTAGATTAGGAAAACTGATCCACTGCTAGGATGATGGGGAAAGCGGTGGATGTGATATATCTTGTCTTTAGCAAAGCTTTTGATACGGTCTCCCACAGTATTCTTGCCAGCAAGTTAAAGAAGTATGGGCTGGATGAATGGACTATAAAGTGGATAGAAAGCTGGCTAGATTGTCGGGCCCAATGGGTAGTGATCAATGGCTCGATGTCTAGTTGGCAGTCGGTATCAAGCGGAGTGCCCCAGGGGTCAGTCCTGGGGCTGGTTTTGTTCAACATCTACATTAATGATCTGGATGATGGGATCCCTCAGCAAGTTTGCAGATGACACTAAGCTAGCGGGAGAGGTAGATATGTTGAAGGGTAGTGATAGGGTCCAGAGTGACCTAGACAAATTGGAGGATTGGGCCAAAAGAAATCTGATGAGATTCAACAAGGACAAGTGCAGAGTTCTGCACTTAGGAAGGAAGAAGCCCATGCACCACTACAGGCTGGGGACCAACTGGCTATGCAGCAGTTCTGCAGAAAAGGACATGGGGATTACAGTGGACGAGAAGCTGGATA